CACCTCTACCAGCTGTCTCTTCTCGCCCAGTGTGATTTATTTACAAAGGTGACAATAGAGCGAGGCAAACCAGTGCAACACACATTTTATCAGATGTTTAAATGAAGGTAGGTAAAGGTAAAGGGACCCCTGACCATTAGGTCCAGTCGTGGATGACTCTGGGGTTGCGGCGCTCATCTTGCTTTATTGGCCGAGGGAGCCGGCGTACAGCTTCCGGGTCATGTGGCCAGCATGACTAAGCCGCTTCTGGCGCACCAGAGCAGTGCACGGAAACACTGTTTACCTTCCCACCGGAGCAGTACCTATTTATCTACTCGCACTTTGACGTGCTTTCGAACTGCTAGGTTGGCAGGAGCAGGGACCGAGCAACGGGAGCTCACCCCGTCGCGGGGATTCGAACCGCGGAACTTCTGATCGGCAAGTCCTAGGCCCTGTGGTTTAACCCACAGCGCCACCTTTTCCTTTTCCAGGCATCTTGCAGACATTTCCCCCCCTTGGTTAATTTCCATATAATTAAAGCTTATACAACATTCATATTGTTGAAATATTGCAGAGATCAGTCATGCTTGTGATGTGCCCAGCAATGGCATTCTGTTTTCACAAACACTACAAGTGAAACCCACTACAAGGTGCCAAGCCCAAAGCGTTGGGGTCCAAGTTGTAGGATAAGCAGCTGTATATAACCAGTGTTCTGAAGATTAATAAATGAATGAAGGGGTTGAGACCATAGAGTAGGCATAGCTAGGACACCTTGGGAGGAAGGGTTATCAGACCTCTGCTCTTCCCATTCTACCACGTGAACCCTACCAGTAAGGTCTATGAAGAATGCTCCAACTCAGACCGCGTGGCTTAAGCAAGCTATCTTTCTGCTTCTATACAAATAATTTAGAAACATTTACCACTTTGGAACCTGAGTTTTCCTGCCTGTGTTTTTTAATACTGCTGCCTGGAAAAGCACATGAATCTGACCTTCAAAGAGTTTGTAAGTAAATGATTTTTAACTTCCAAATGTGTGGTCTCTTTCTATGCTAAGGGAAGAGGGGAACTCTGGAAGCAACTTAAACAGGGATGATTTAAAGGTCCAACAGCCTATATTTCCACACTTTACCTTGATGCATACTATTTTGTGATTTTAAATCTCTGCTGGGGTTCTCTCACCAAAGAGAACTTCCCCCAAACCTGGATCCAGACATCCAGGGAATTCTCCTTTTATTAAACACCATCTTTTTTTATCTTTAACCAAATAAAAATACCAACACAAATTTCATTAGTCACCTTATTGCTTTTCTCTTAAGTTTATATGGGAAGCCCCCCAAGCAATATTTATCTCTCAAGATATACCTAATATCACTCTAACCATATATAAAGGAGGAGATGAATTCGGAAGTTCCAGTCATCTCCTATAGTTCACTCCTCTCACAAGCCCCAAATTTAACCTAGAGACATTGATACAGAGCTAGCCAACAGTAATTAAGTAAACCTTGCCTGCTCAAGTGCAAAGATGTGCTGATTGAAATAAAACTGGATCTGCTCATTTGCAATGTTTATGCACAGCTGTTCGAAAGAGTTCCTTGTGAAGTTCTCGAATCCGAAAATATCCAGTATGCCAACATTCATTCCGCTTTCGGCATTGCTGGGTAGAAAAATATACAAAATCCGTAACTGAAACACCATTGGAAACCAGTTTTATAAATGCAAATTCAGCCCTAGTATCTGCTTTATATTTTATTTTAATTGTGTTCAATTTATTGCTTTGAAAACTATTGAAAGGCATGACACTAAATAAAATAATTTTGTAAAAAGTTGTGCAAGACTCTCAGCATTGAAAAGATATAGGAAGAATGCCTTGGCGGAAATGCAAATCGTGTTTTGCACTCCCTGAAAGTGCAAAACTATAGTTATTCACTGCACACAAAGTCCTTGCATTCAAGCCTGTGTGAACTGGTCCACTAGATTATATAATTAAATGTTTCCATATACCCATAAAATAATTGTACAGCACAATTCCTTATTTATCAATAGCTCACTAAATGCCACTTTATTATTTTGGGGATCTTAATGCAATTGGCATAATCCACTTACCTTGCAGTCCACCCCACAGCTAAGCTTTGTATATGAGCTGATAAATCAGCTTAGGTAGTTTTTAGCGACAGTTTTAAGTGTGAGCGCATCATGTTAAACGTTTTGTACGCTATAGCCTTATCACTAAAAGGACTTCAGTAGCTTTTCACCATAAAACAGACAAACTTTAAAAACATCGCTTTGTGATGTATTTTCAAAGAGCTGATGGGATTTTAACCCCACACTGATCCCCATTGACCTACTTGGTTAAATCCTAGCCAACTCTTCGAAAACACTGGAGTTAACGTCCTGGAAACAAAAAATGCAGAATCACAGCACGGAGGCCATTTAGAGGCATTATCTAAAACAAACAGTAAATTCCTCCCCGTAAAATAAAAAGAAATATATAGACACAGATGACTCCACCAGCACACACGCTGCTTGTTGATGTGTGGACTTGCCATATATTTTTATCAGGCTGCAGCAGGGTATTAATGCGATTTACGATCCAGCTGAAGAGTCGGCCATAAAGTGCCTTTGACATGGCATCCCGTACATCGGCTGCTTTGTCTACAGTGTTTGTCCGGATAATAGTCTCGCCTCGTGTCACAACACAGTGAGAGGTGAGAGCTTCCTGGAGTTCCTCTGAGCCAATACTCAACAGGGCAGCGGCTGAAAGAGGACACACAGACATGTCGGGATGAGATGGGAGCTGTTGGCCTTGGCAGACATCTTGTGTGAAACGGGTCTTTTCTTATGCATATTCTACTACTGCAGGGCTGGCTAACCTGTGGCCGTTGCTGGACTCCATTTCCCATCAGCCCCAGACAGCACGGCTAACTGTCAGGAATGATGGGAGTTGTAGTCCGACAACACCTAGAAGGCCACAGGTTCCCCATCCCTGCCCTACAAAAGTCCTCTGAAGTACAATTCCTGCCAATATTTACCATTATCTAAGGCTTCGGCATTGGGCACTTCGCTTTTATCCGTTTGATGTTGTGAGGAAATGGCGGCAAATTCAATATTTCCTGTATTTAAGATCCCAGCCAGAATTCGGTACACTGAGTGCACTTCCTGCAAACAAGAGGAAGGGCAAGAACTCTTCAGAAGTCAGAACTCTAAGCATCAGTAGACTTCAGACTCAACACTTCGAAGCCCACCCACACTCTGCAGACGGAGGATGTAACCGGTGGCGTAGTGTGGGAGGGCCAGAGGGGCAGTGGCCCCAGGTGCAAAATTCTGAGAGGGGTGCAACCAGGCACCAAGACAGGCTCCCTCAGCATGGCTGAATTCCTGCCGCCTTCTGGAGCAAGACAAGTATCTTTGTGGCAGCAGATGGAAAAGTCACTACTTACCTCATCCGTAAACCCTATGATCCTGAAGCAATGCTGAATTGCTTCAAACTGTGTCCCATAGGATTCTTTACTAATAATGTCATGCATCACCCTTCCTGTGTCATTATCAATATACCTAAATAAAAAAGAGATAAGATTCATTCTTCATTCCTGAAAAGGAAGGTGTTGATGCTGGAGGCTGTCTAGAAGACAAACCCAACAGGTACAGAAGTCCTTCTTGGGCACTCTACATTTGTAAGATCATTGGAAATTCGCAGTAAATAAAACACTTTGCACGCACACAGAGACACTCTCAGATTCATTCTTTGGAGAGCCGAACCACAAAATTGAAAAGGGGTTTGGGAGCTGAGCCTTGTGCTCAGATTAAGCCTTGATGAAAGCTTGATTTCAATTAAATTGAACTCAGTAGGTTGTACCCTTTTGACCAAACTGCGGGAGGCAGTGGAAGACAGGAGTGCCTGGCGTGCTCTGGTCCATGGGGTCACGAAGAGTCGGACACGACTAAACGACTAAACAACAACAACAACAAGGTTGTACCCGATGGTATATTTGCACTAGTGAAAAGCACTTCTAGTTGTGCAAGGCATGGCACCCAATTTTCTCTGACCTCCCTACACCCTCTAGCAGCTGCAGCCCTCTAGCAACATATTTCAAACTATTCTGGGTGGTTTCTCAGACCTCAGGAGTAACCTGGCCGGGGGGGGGGGGGGCTGGAGTGGGTAGTGGGTAGTGGGGGGGAAGGGTCTAGAGAAAGTCAGGTGCACAACCTTGCAAAGGTGCAAACCCAGCACTGGATCCACCCCACAGAAAGAAAAATATACCTTTAAGCAAATTCGTAAGGTTGGTGGCAATGGCAGTATGTTACAAATGGAAGATATGACTCCAGTCTAGACTGCAGTATCTACAAACATATAAAGCCACTCCCTGGGTATTATTTTGAACAGTCTTTTGTTGATAATGCTAGTATTTCATTTTCATTTTCTGTAAACCTTTCTGAGGTTTTCTTAAATACAGTGGTACCTTGGTTCTCAAATACCTTGGTACTCAAAAACTTGGAACCAAACACTGCAAACCCAGAAGTAAGTGTTCTGGTTTGCAAACTTTTTTCAGAACCTGAACGTGCTCCGTTTTGAGTGTTACACTTCCGTTTTGAGTGTTATGCTGAGGTCTGTCTGTTTTTGTTATTTATTTTGCATTTTTGTGGCTCTTTTTCGTTGTTGTTTTGTGACTGTGTGGAACCCAGTTCAGCTACTGCTTGATTACGTGACTGCAGTACATTGTTTATTGCTTTCATTTTATGGATCAATGATCTCGTTAGATAGTAAAATCCATGTTAAATTGCCATTTTAGGAGTTTTTTTAAAAAAAAGGTCTGGAACAGATTAATCCGTTTTGCATTACTTTCTATGGGAAAGCGCGCCTTGGTTTTGGAACGCTTTGGTTTTGGAACAGACTTCTGGAACGGATTAAGTTTGAGAACCAAGGTACCACTGTAAGTGGTCACAATTAGCATGATAACTAGATGCAATCCAGGCTGGGTCTCCACAGCTCAGAGGATCAGGCTGTGCATAAGAACATAGGAATGGTGCTCGCTTCGGCAGCACATATACTAAAACTGGAATGATACAGCAAAGATTAGCATGGCCCCTGCGCCAGGATGACATGCAAATTCGTGAAGCGTTCCATATTTTTGTGAACCCATTGAAAGATGTCATGAATGAAATATTGAATACAGATGAAATCCCACAAATGTGGAAAGAGGCCTATATCACAGTAATTCCAAAACAAGATGCAGATTTGCTGCAAATCAAAAACTACAGGCCTATTTCCTTGTTAAACAATGATTATAAATGGTTTGCAAACATATTAGCCAACAGATTAAAAAAAAATACTAAATGAGTATCTACACCAAGATCAAGCAGGGTTTTTACCAGGTAGACAAATGAAGGAGAATATAAGAAATATTCAGAATATAATAGAATACCTGAAGGCTAAAAATGAAAAGAAAGCAGCAATGATGTTTATAGATGCTGAAAAAGCCTTCGATAATGTTTATTGGAAATTCATGACAAAGCTGTTAGAACAAATTAGATGCGGTTCTAAATTTCTAAAAGGAATAGCAGCAATTTATTCAGAACAAAAAGCAAAATTAATTATAAACCAGGTGATTACAGATGACTGTAAGATTCAAAAAGGAACTAGACAAGGATGCTCACTATCACCATTATTGTTCATCCTGGTACTGGAAGCACTTGCCAGAAATATAAGACCAGACAAAGAGATCACAGGTGTAAAAACTGGGAAAAGTGAGTTTAAATTAAAAGCATATGCAGGTGATTTAGTGATAACAGTGGAAGAACCCAAAACTTCACTCCCTAAAGTAATAGAAAAGATTCAGAAATTTGGGGAAGTGGCAGGATTTACCGTATTTTTCGCCCCATAGGACGCACTTTTTCCCCTCCAAAAATGAAGGGGAAATGTGTGTGCGTCCTATGGGGCGAATGCAGGCTTTCGCTGAAGCCTGGAGAGCGAGAGGCATCGGTGCGCACCGACCCCTCTCGCTCTCCAGGCTTCAGGAAGCTATCCGCAAGCCTTGCAAGCCTGGCGGGAGTTCCTGCGGGCTCACAAGGCTTGCGGGCAGCAGCCTGCAGCCCCGGCGAGTGTCCGCAAGCCTTGCGCGCCCGGTGAGAGGTCCCGCCGGGCACGCGAGGCTTGGGACGGCAGACTGCCGCCCGAAGCACAGGGAGCCCTCCAGAGGGTGCCCCGTGCTTTGGGCAGGTGTGCACAAGGCTTGGGGCGGCAGCCGCGGCAGGGGGAGGAAATAATTTTTTTTTATTCATTTCCCCCCCCCCAAAAAAACGAGGTGCGTCCTATGGGCCGGTGTGCCCTATAGGACGAAAAATACGGTAAATAGGAATAAAACTAAATTATTAGTCAAAAATTTGAAGGAAGAGGGGAAAACGGACTTAGAACAAAATATTGAGATTGAAGTCCATAAAAAGGTCAAGTATTTAGGGATTTGGTTAACTTCAAGAAACGTAAACTTATTTAAAAACAATTATGAAAAAAATTGGCTTGAGGTACCTCAAGGTACCTGGAGATGCTGGAATTGAACATGGGACCTTCTGTATGCAGAACAGACTTAACCACTGATCTACAGCCCTTCCCAAAAGGCTGATAGACACACTTGAAGCAGCAAACATCTTGGTGGTTTTCATTGAAAGCAAGGCTACAAACAGCAAGCTGGGGGATAGGCAAAACCTGCTTTCCCCTCCTTTCCTCACAAAACTAGATCGAAAAGTTTTAGCCACTAATAACCTTGTTGAAAACTGCTTTTCTTACTCCCATATATGTGAATGACTCTTCCATTACAGTGAAGAGAAAAGCACCGCATCTGGGGTGAAATTAAAACCTATCTTCCTCTTCTGACACTGCGTAGCCCACGCCTCACGGGGATTCAACATAACCCTATGTGCAAACTGAGAGAGAGAGAGAGAGAGAGATTTTATCCCCTCTCTGCCTATCCTATAATGTTCTGCAAACTGGCCACTGTAGTTGTCCAAAGAATTGCCATGATGCTGTTATTTTGAAATGGGTATTTCTAGACAATAAAACCAGACAAGTTCATAAAGTTAATGTAGAAAACAACAACAACACACACTTGAAAGTTGACACAATGGAATATGTAAATGCAACTCTGTCCTTATAGGCCAATTACCCAAGTAATAATAATGTACAGATTTAAAAACAATTCATTTGGGTTTATTTGCATAATGTTAACACGTACCATTAACTCTGCAACCAACTATTTTGGAAAACAAAGCAGATGCAATTCAAGAGAGTGAAAAAAAAGCTCTTAGTTTTATTTTTGATTCACATAGTTAAAAGGGTGGGGAATCAATTTAGCCCAGCAGCCCAACTCTCGACCTCTTCTACCTGCCGTGAGCAAACCTGACAGGTGGGGAGGACTAGCCACTTGTCAATCATCTGGGGTCACAGCGATTTCAGGTGACTGACATCAATCACATTTCAAAGGAGGACATTGAAGCACAACCTCGTTTGAAGATGCTCTTCAAGTATTAGGCAAAGAGGATCCCTTCAGGCGACTATCAGCTGATGGTCATTTAGGGGGAGAAGTCTCTTTAGTTGGGAGAATATTCTTAAAATTGTGGATTTGGGAAGGACCCCATCTAGTCTAACCCCCGGGCTAACATGACGCTCAAACCCACAGTTCTGAGATTTAATCTCTTGCTCTACTGACTGAGCTAACATAATACTGCACAAGGGAATCCATCAAAAACGGACCACCGCGTGGATTTCAACCCCCATTACAGCAAGGACTCTTGTTGCGAAAGCCATTTAGTTCTCTAGAACTTTTTAAAAACATGCACACATTATGCACAAAGGCATACATATATTCACGATACAGGTACCTCTTCCTTTTTATTGTTTCTGAGGCAGTCAATATACCCTAAGACTGCAATCCTAATTATGTCCACTTACAAGTAAATCCCACTGAATTCAGTGAGGCTTACTCCCAGGTATGTGGGATTAGGATTGCAGTCATGGGGACAGATTCAGCTAATGAGTCCTGCTAGCGGAAACCTGCACAAGGGCTTCCTCTAGTGCAATGGGGCTTTCCTTCCTCTCCCCCCCCCCGCACCTCTCCAAATTGGCTCGGGGATGGATGGACCCAGAACAGTGCATGTGGGAGGGAAGACGTGGGGGGTTATCTTGCAAGGTAAAATGCTTACACACTGACAGAACAATTATTAAAGTGCTACAATGGATCCTTCCCTTAATCTGCTTCCTATTGTGAATTTTAAAAACCAATGAAATGCATTTCTCAATACAATTATTTTAAAATGGAAATAAGTTGCATCTTTGCTACTTGTAGATCTGATCTTCAGTTAAAGTCCTAGCTCCATTTTCAAACTGAGGAGAACCATCCGGATTTGACTGCTCACTTTTGTCCACCCTAAAACCTTGTTTTAAAAGTAACATGAAATTCAAAATTCTCCTCCCTGCTGAAATTGTATTGACTTTTAATTAAACTGTCCCATGAGATGGGATGCAAAGTTAAAACTGAACTTTGAAATCAAGGAGGCAAGAGTGGCTGCATTCCTAACCCCACTTACTTGGGAATAATAATAATAATAATAATAATAATAATAATAATATATTCACATGTCATCCATCTGACTGGGTTGCCCCAGCCACTCTGTGCAGCTTCCAACAAATTATAAAACCACTGTAGAACATCAAACATCAAAACTTCCCTGAATTTAATGGGACCTACTTCTGAGTAGACATGGTTAGGTTTGCAGCCATAGATGCTTTTGTAATGGGGCCATGAGCTACTTCATTAACAAGGGAAGAAAAGCTGATCTGTTGGTGGCTGAGATTAAAGCTATGGTTTTTCCAGTAGTGATATGTGGAAGTGAGAGCTGGACCATAGAGAAGGCTGATCGCCAAAGAATTCCCCCCCCCCAATTTGTTGCATTTATTTGAGTAAATATCTGGTAAATAAAGTCATTGATAAAACATTACAACATTAAATACATTTTAAAAAGCTTGCCAGTATACATAAAGTCCACAAACATGTATTTCTTCTTTTAAAAAATAATATTATGTTCAGAGCACCCTTGATATAAAATGCCAGACTAGCATCTACCAGCAGATGGTAGCTTGTCAAACATTTAGAATGTTTTCCTGAAGTGTTAGGGATTCCGGCTTTCACAACTAAGAACCAGTACCACCCACACAACCTACCAAGTCTGATGCCAAAGTTGGAGAATCAGTCTAATATTCTTGTCACAAGAAGGGAGGGCAGGAAGAAACTGCATTGGGCCAATATTACATGGTTTTGTTTGGTTTATGCAAAGAATTGATGCTTCTGAATTATGGTGCTGGAGGAGACTCTTGAGAGTCCCATGGACTGCAAGAAGATCAAACCTATCCACTCTGAAGGAAATCAGCCCTGAGTGCTCACTGGAAGGACAGATCGTGAAGCTGAGGCTCCAATACTTTGGCCACCTCATGAGAAGAGAAGACTCCCTGGAAAAGACCCTGATGCTGGGAAAGATGGAGGGCACAAGGAGAAAGGGACGACAGAGGACGAGATGGTTGGAAAGTGTTCTTGAAGCTACCAGCATGAGTTTGACCAAACTGCGGGAGGCAGTGGAAGACAGAAGTGCCTGGCGTGCGCTGGTCCATGGGGTCACGAAGAGTCGGACACGACTAAACAACAACAACAACTGTGTACTAAAGCTAAAAACGAAAGTTTAAAAAAGTATATGGAAAACAAGCTTGTGCAAAATAGGCCAACTGCAGTTCAACAGAAAATAACAAAGTGAACTGAGGCGTGTTTGTACATCATTGTTTACAGGTCTATGCCTGGCACTTGGACAGAACTGCAAGGCCCCACCTTTACCTGCCCTGTACCTGTACCTGTTATATTCCCCATGATGTCAGGTGTAGAGCAGGTGGGCATGGCTTGGCCAAAACAGCATCGCAGGTCAAATTCCCATCTTATCTATCCGCTTGAGAGGCTGACAAAGGTTCCTTAAGGGTTGGGGAAGGGTTAATGGATATTCTAACTCAAGCATCAAGCTGGAAGCAACAGCTAATCAATAGCTAATTACATCTGGCATTAAAATCAAATTAGTAATGGGTTACCTGGGAGGCTTTTT